ATATAAATGTGAAAGTTAAACATAGAAAAAAAAAATATTTAGAGAGAATATTATTTATAATTCAGAAAAAAATGTTAATTAGAGAAAAATGAAAAGAAAGTTAGAGGTGAAGAGATAGATTTTTAAGAGAAAAAATTAATAAAAAGAAAAAAATTTAAAAAGATAGTAAAGTTAAGAGAGTAATATTAAAATAAATTATTATGGAGATTTTTTTAAAATAAATTATATCGAATTGGTTGTTTGATACTTAAATTTCAAAATATAACTTTGTACTTTTTAATTTTGATCCATTTTTAATTATTTGTATTAGTTTTCTATTAATATTATAATTAAATTAGTTATTATTATTATTATTTATAATTATTAAAATTAATTAAAAAAATTACATTATAATTAATTAATTGGAAGTTAGCATTCATTATTCAAAGGTAAAGGTAGATATGTCAATTTTATCTACAGGGATCCGCTCTAAGGGAAGAGGAGATTCTATTAGACGAGAAATGAAAGAGAGATGTTCATTTTACTGCAAGGATCCACTCGAAATGAAGAGGAAATTTCCTATTTAGACGGTAAATGGGAAATGGAGTGGAAAACATTTTTTACCGATTAGATAAATTGGACCAAAGACGGGAATCCAATTCCTTACCCTACCCCTTCCTTTAATATATACATGTTTTTTTATTAAAAAATAAATTAGTTAATTTTAACCCATTATAATATTTAAGTTAAAAAAAAAGTGGTAGACTGTAATATTAAAATTAATGTTAGAAATTAAGTTGGTAGGATATATTTAGTATGATTTCTTTTTTAAAATTTATTTAATAAAAGTTATATCAGAGACTGAACAATTTAAAAATAACTATTTTTTATTTTTTAAGGGAATAATAAACGAAAAAAGATTGGAAATTTCATCTTCTATCTCCACAAGAATAAATGAAGTTAAAATAAAATTAAAAATATAATATTTTAAAATCAAATAAAAACAAACTAAAAAAATATAAAATATGAATATAAAAGACTTAATAAATATACTGAAAACTTTGGACTAAAAAGACGATTTTCTCGCTGAATTAAAATCGTAAGAAGCTCCCCCGAAATCACACATCAGGCATGGACCCCGCATGAAAATACCATTTTACCCCTGGTTCATCATTTCCTCTCCCCTTCTCAGAGTCTTCTCAGGAGCCCCCTTTCTGAATCCCTTTATAAACTCTCCTTCCTCACTCCAGATTTTCCACTCAAAAAATTCTTCTTCTTCGTCTTCTTCTTCTTCAAATTTGAACTTCGTCAATGGCTTCCGGCGACGACGCTTCGACCTTAGATTTCATCAGACAACACCTTCTCAGCGACTTCAACTCCATTGAAGCCTTCGCTTCAAATCTCGATTTCATCAACAATAATGGACTCACACCTCAAATCCCCGCTGCCCCTTCAAAGATCGGTCACCGCCGTCCCTCTCTCAACGTCATGATTCCACCCAAGACCCACTCTGTCCAATCCCCTGCGGCAGCGACGGCGACGGTTACGACATCTTCTGATGTAAAATCCGATGTGGGTCTGAGTCAGCATTACAGGGGGGTTCGCCGGCGGCCATGGGGGAAGTTTGCAGCGGAGATTCGGGACCCTAACAAACGTGGAGCTCGTGTTTGGCTTGGAACTTACGATACCGCAATTGAAGCTGCCAAAGCTTATGACAGAGCTGCTTTTAAGATGAGAGGAAGTAAGGCGATTTTGAATTTTCCTCTTGAGGCTGGAAAGGAAGCAGATGAGCCGCCGTCCACGGCAGCTGTTGGCCGGAAAAGGAGGAGGGAGAGTGAGGTTGGGGAAATGGAGAATAAGTTTGTGAAGAAGGAGGAGGAGTCGTCGGAAACAAATGAAATCGGAGTTCCGGCGGCCATTTGTCCTCTAACGCCGTCTTGTTGGGCGCCGGTTTGGGACAATGATGGGAAGGGGATTTTCAGCGTGCCGCCGTTATCGCCTCATCTGTTAATGGGATATCCTCAATGCACCGTCACATAAAATTTCTGCAAAAAAAAAAAAAAAAAAA